TTGTTCGTTTTATAGAGCCATTATATCCTGTACAAACTTTTAATCAGATGGGTTCCGTTCATCATTTCCCACTATTCTTAATCGCAATTGTTCATGTTTGTTTATTGTTGATGTGCAAAACCTCCGAAAACTATTAATAATTTTACACATCTAAAATTAGGGTCACTTCAAAATTTAAAGTACATGCATGCAATGGAATACTGGTTCCTTAAGTTATTTGATACATATTTCTTAAATTGAAGAACCCTTTTGAATATAATAGTATTTCTGATAATAGAGGTTTTAAGCTGACAGATGTACATGTACTTGATTTTTCAGCCGAAGAGGGGAAATCAGTAGGTAAAAATTAAACTTTGCTCGTCTAATTTATTTTCTTGAAGTATTTTATTTTTAAGTTTAATGTCAAGATCTAGAAAATGAAAAATGCCTACAAATTTATCAAGTTTGAGAAATTAATACCTTTAATGAGGTTTTACAACTTAAGCTTGGTCAAATAAGGTGTTTCGGGGATAACATGGAGGTAAACAAGATTAAAAACCTAATTTTAATTTTAAATTAAGAATTATTCAAACTAGTCATGAGTACATGTACAGTGGCTGGAACGTTATTGTTGACAAACCGATCGTGTAGAATCGTTCGTTTAACGTGCGCGATCGTTCGTTAAACGTGCGCGATCGTTCGTGTATCAGAATCGTTCGTGTGCGTTTTCAATCGTGCGCGATCGTTTAATTTTTTTCGTTTTGTGAAAATTTTTCGGAATGTTCAGTTTTAAAGATGGCGGAAGGCAGTAAAGGAGGGAGACTTTCGGTGCGATTGAAATTGAAGATTTTAGACCTTCGTGCGAACCAAACTTCAGTGCAGAATGTTATACGTATTCTATGGAAAGAGGACGGAGTGAAATTTTCACGGACAGCTGTTTATAACTTTCTGAGGCGACACAGTTATACTGGACTCTTACGGAGAAAACGCCGAGATGTTAAACCGCATTCAGTGAAGTTAAAGACATTGCATCTCAAGTTTTTGGATTCGTGGATGTATGCTAATCAAGAACTTAAGGCTGTAGAACTACAGAGACGTATGTTTGAGACTTTTGGTGTTAATGTGTCAACTAGTTTGATTTGCAAGAGGAGAAGGTTAAACCTTGGATGGAAGGCGCAGTCAAGCAACAAAAACTGTCAGCTGATCAGCAAAAAGAATAAGAAGGTTCGTATGAATATCTCACCAAATCACTGTCTCCTAATATGTTTTTAAAATTTGTGTTAGTGTATGATTTTGTGTTTTCATTTAATACTAAGTTCTTAGGTTAAATTTTCGTGGCTCTACTGTCTACAGAAGAGTAAAGACAAAAACAATGTTTTTATCACCCCCAAAGTTTAGTGCTAAAGTGTTATAGAAAGTATAGTAATATTACTAAAGCTTATGTAGATTATTTCTGTTATTTGGAAGGCCTACTTATATTACAATTTTAAAAGCTTTTCATGATTATTTGATATTTCTATAGGTACGGATGCAGTGGTGTATGGATTCCTTATCGCGGAAAGAAGATTTCAGAAATGTTATCTTTGTTGATGAAAGCTGTGTGGAGATGTGCTCAAGTGGCAGGCTGATTTTCCACCAGAAGTCATCAGATATTCAAAAGAAATGTGACCGTGTACCCAAACCGAAACATGCCTACAAGGTAACACAATATTTAAAAAAAAAAATCATATTCAATAAAATGAAGTGAAGTCTTCCTGCCAATATTTCCAAACTCAGTTTTTAATTAACTAATATTTTAATTCAATTTTAATTTATTTTCATCAACATTGAACATGTTGTTCAATACTTGTGTTTTGAAAATGGTGTTTGTGTGAGCAAAAAAGGCATATTTACGTCCAAAATATTAACACATTTTGTTTCTTAACAGGTTAATGTTTGGGCAGGGATTTCTTATAGAGGGAGAACGAGCATTTGCATTTTCAATGGCATCATGGACTCTGTGATCTACCAACAGATTCTTAAGGATAATCTGCTGCCTTTTACAGATGAGAAGTTTCCTGATGGATATCGGTTATATCAGTAGTGTTAAATCTAAAGCAAACTAGCATGGCGCGGCGCCATGCCCCTTTTTCTCGGCGCCATGCCCTTTTTTCCAGCGCCATGCCCTTATTTCTTAACCCAAAATTAAATAAATATGCCCAGTTTAGGCAATATTCCTTTGCTGTTCGTGTATTCAGTGCATGCTGATAATCCCTTTGTTTACACAACGACAGGAAATCACTTCACGGTTGAACGCACGCACACAGCCACCTGGCTAATTAACATGCCTTAGGCTGTCAGGGTAGAGGATTTAACTTGAGAAACTGTCATTTGATTGCATTAATTATGCAAGAATTAGCCCAAGATTAAAGATAATTAACTTGTAAATTATTAACTAATTAAAATCAGGATCGTTTTTTAAACAGAAAGTAGAATAAAACACATAGTTGAACTTGAAAAAACGGATATTTTATCTGAATAAAATACATATAGTGCACCAAAAAACTGAATGTAATATGATAAAAATGCTTAAAAACAACAAACTAAGATAGTTTCTTTGATTGAACTGATATATTTGATAAGCTGAGGGTCAATGTTTCTAATTAAAGCCAGAGTTTTTTTTAAACAAATTATACATGACATTAATTTTTTTGGGAGTAAGACCTTTTCACTTTATCCTGTTGGTAGAATATTTTCCAAGTAAAGAGAATGGTCTCTACATGTATTTTTGAAAATGCCCCTCCCCCCTTTCCTGAAAAAAAGTGTTTTTAAATTGACTGCACTATTATACAAATAACATAGTCCAAGCAGGAAAAAAAAAATCATACCTCCAAACTTTAATAATTTATACAGATGTTTCAGCTAGGACAACCTTACTACTTTTTTGATTAAAGAAATTGGATGTAAATGCCTTTTTTATATCCTCGTTTGTTTCAATAATTGTCATGTCAGCCCAGATGTGCTAATTGTGTTGATATTTAAAAAAAAAATGAATGGAATACAGATATATGAATTTATCTTTAAATTACTTGTTTAAATAAAGATTTCAATATGAAAGGATATTAAAAGTAATTAAACATGTTAAAGTATGTAAAAATTAATGATCAATATAATCTTTATAAAGACATTTTAATACATTTGTTTTAAAAGTGCCCTCGTGAGATCCTGTCGCGACACAAAGTGCCCTTTTGATTCCTTGATTACCATGCCCTTTTTAGGGTCTAGATTTAACACTATATCAGGTAACCAACAAGTTGATTACATCTGTTTTATGAAATAAAGCCTACATATCATGTACTTTATTATACAGAAAAAAATAGCAATAAAATTGTCTGTTGATATTTGTAGCTTGATATTTAAGATATTTAAGGCACATAGATAGGAAGAAAAATGCTTAATCAGGGAATCTGAAACTTAATATAATTATTTCATTTTTATGCAGGACAACGACAGTAAACATACATCCAAGTCCACCAGAGCATGGATGGAAGAGAACAACATTCTCGATAACATCATGAAGTCACCAGCATCCTCTCCTGACCTCAACCCTATAGAAAATGTATGGGCTTCTATGAAGCAATACCTCGCAAATGTCCACAAGCCGAGAACCAGAGATGAGCTAGTTAGAGGAATCCAAGTGTTCTGGGAGTCCCTTACTGCTGAACAGTGCGGACGTTACATTGATCATATTCATCGTGTGATTCCGTACGTAGTGTTGAATGGTGGAGATGCCTCTGGATTTTAAAAGTACAATGACCTTAGAAACAACAAAAACTGTGCCATTACACATTTAGTGAAATCCAAGTATTCTGGGAGTCAGTCCCTTAAAGCTGAACTGTGCGGACTTTATAGGATAGACCAAATTCATTGTGTTTACCATGTGATTCCATACATTGTGATAATTGATGTAGAAACATCTAGCATGTTAAAGTTACCATGTCCAAGATAAAAAATGAAAACTGTGCCATTTACTCATTCAGTGACAATGAAGACTTGAAATCTTATTGTTTTTCTTTTGATATTTATCTTGGCATTCTATGCAAAGAAAGTTTGACATGTGGGAAAAAAAATGTTTTGTGACCTTGACTTGAATTCCCAAAGTCCATTTTGTGAGAGAAAGGGATGGATAACACTAACAAGTTTATTGTAATAAAGCAAATTGTTATGAGTACTTGTATTATTTTATTCCTTCCATTTGCACTCCAATGCTTTTAAAAGTAAATATTAAATGTTTGCAAAATTTCTTCAAAATTGAGTGTCTTGTCTATCTTTCTGTAGACTTTTATTATGTACACAGTTTGTAATTGTGCTCATAGAAAAGACACTTTGCCATAGGATCATAAAACAGACTTAGACGTAAGTCATAATTTTTCAACCGCAAGTAATGTTAATTTCTTTATTCTGGTTTTTGAAACAATGTTTAAATTCACACGTCATGTTACAAATAACATAACTTTGTAAACAATTATATTTACAAATACTTTTATTTCTGTCTCTAACAGTTTAGTTAGATTTTGACTTAAGCTTAAGGTGTTTCATGATCCTTAATCCAGGCCGTTGGTCCATAACACTAGGATGATCATAAGAATTGCCTAAGTTAGGCATAGTTAACATTAAAATTAGTTTTGAAAATTCAGTAGAAACTGTGTTTATGTCCCTTAAATCTATTAAAAAACCTAATGGTAAAAATGGCAAGCTTGATATTGCTTAAAATGAAAGAAATGCTCAAAATCAATATGAATGGCTGCTTCAAATAAGAGTGATTTATAATTTTAAGATTCTTTTTGAAAGAAAACAGGTTTACAAATAAATGTCAGATGAAAAATGAATTTAAATGAAAATTTTAGGCATATCCAAATTTTGTTTCCTTGTTTAGTGTCCACAGACAGATTAGTTTTGAGGTAAGACCTGGAGAGTCAGGGATTGGGTTTTCCTTCTTTAAAATTCATTCTTAAGATTTAGAAATTAATATACACTGAGAACATGAAGAAAATTTTCAATTGTTGCTGAGAAATTTCTTGAAAATTGTAATTCTATTTCCTGATTTTGATTATCTGATTGAGTGATTAGCAAAACTTCTGTTTTTAATGTGGACACTAATCATTGAAAGAAAACTTGAAATACCCTTATACTGTATAGAAAAAAAAATAGGATAACTTACATAAAACACCAGTTGCAAAGTTTTTGATGATTTATTACTAACTCTAAGTATCAAAGTATTACAGACACTTGCTTACAATAAATAAATAATCCTCAATACAAACACACTGATAGTATTAAATCCAATATTATGCTCTAGTAAGTTTCAAACAATAAATAATTTACAATAAACACATGTAGTGATACAATTAAAAAAATCATAATCAGTGATTTCCTTTCGAGAAAAACAAAATATTTATGCTGGAAACATTTTATTTTACTATACAAAAATCCATCTAAAAATAGGAAGGATCATAACATGTACACAGATTCACTGTTGATGATGTCTGTGGCTTTCACATACTTGTAGCATTAAATAACCCAATATCATTAAAGCTCTGGTTAGATTCAAATAATAAATAATCTAAAATGAACATACTGGTACACAAACTACACATGTAGCATTATAATATAAAGACATGATTTTCAGGAAAACAAAAAGTTTATGCTTGAAATGCTTTTTACGACTGGTAACGCAGATTCAAAAGTCCATTTAATAAATAAAGGAAGGATCATCACATGTTCACAGATTCACTGAAAAATCACTTCCTGGAAATTGAACGGATACCACTGTTGATGGCGCCCATGGCTTTCACATATGCATCAAAGTCATCTCCACAATAATCAATATAGATGTGTTCCATCAAATGAACTCGTCTCGGAGAAAGTGGATCCCGACTTTTTCTTCCAAACACGTTTCGGCCCCTCAACTCCCAATCATGATAAACTGTTTTAGCCACATTCCACATAAAGTTACCCTCAGAACATGATGAACCCTTTAGTTTTTCCAGAACGTCCCTCCTTATTCTGAACTCCAGTCTTCCTGGCTCGATGTCGTCAGGACACGAGATTTCCTTTACAGTGTGGTTGGATGGGCAGCTGGGAATAAGAGTCCTTTTTCTCTTCCTGTTTTCCGGTAACTCTCTCAATGGCGTTCGGTCACTGTATGAGGTGGTTGTGGTTGAGAAAAGGGCTCTCTTTGTTGGTGGTGGATTGGCAGTAGTGGTGGTGTCTTCATCTTCATCTGTATTTTCTCTTCGGCAGTTCTCTGAATTGTTGATTGGTGAAAGTTCACTTACAATGGTTGGAATGTTCATGGTTTTAACAGCTATTTCTTGGATAACTGGGGTTGATGTTGGTTCCTCTGGTGGGATGATTGTAATGGATGGTGTGGTCTGGATGGTGCTGCCATTTGGCACATTGTTCACTGCCCATCTGTACACCTCACTGGCACTTATTGATCGGTCACACTGCTGCTGTCCCCTAAGAATGGCTAAGATTTCATCAAGCTTCTCATGTAATGTCCCACTTTCATGAGGATTATGAGGATTTTGATGATTAGGAGCTTCGGCTTGCACTGCAGCATCCATCATCACAGAACTCTTAACTACAGATGTCTGTGTTGCTCTTCCGACGGAGGAGGCAGGTGAAGTCTGAACTGTGCTGTCTGTTTTGTTGCTGCCACTAATTAGTTCCAAGATCTCCTTTTCATCTTGAACCACGATAACTTTATCCGTTTGAGAAGTGGAGCTCACTTTCCCAGCTTCATGAAACACGACTTGCTGCTGCACAATTTCCCTTTCATCTGAGGAGAGGTCATCCAAGTACACAGGACTGCGCATTGGTGAAGCATTCGAATTGGTCAAATCCGCCGATCCTTCATACAGCACTGTTATCTTCCGTCCCTTAGACCCCTGCAAAGATAATCTAAATTTAATCCTTTGCACCAAAGGAAAGCAAATTTTTGCATATTGTAACATGTTTAAGGTCAAAATCTAGTAAATGAAAGGTATCTACAGATTACCCTCAATTGAGAAACAACTTCTTCTAGGGCAAAAATAAAATAATTGTTTGTTTGAAATGACTCCCACCTCAATGAAATGCCCCCTCCTGAAAAAAACTTTATTGACCAAAAGAAGAAAGATTTTTTTAATAAATGTTCCCCGTTATCACATGCACCATACAAAACACTGAAATAAACTTAAAAGTGTCAGATCTAAGCAAAATTAGCTTTCTGTGTTGATTGTAGAAACTTCTTTTTAAAAGTCAGAAATGTGTTTACTGATTACTGATTTCTTTTTTTAATTAAAATTTGTCTTCAATTTTGCCAAAAAATAGCTTCCCTCCTTACTGTGTCTGAAACCTTCAAACGGCAATTCCAAACAAAAAAATTTTAAACAATGGCTTTATAATCCTTTACAAATGTACAGTGGCTTGGTAAAATAACAATAAACATGTATCAGGACATAATTCTTACATAAACTCCATGAAAGTACATATTTCAAACTGACATTTTAAGTTTAAGTAATGTGTTCCCAGGAACACACTTGTCACATGCTTTTAGCTTCATTAAAGAATTAACTAATTCTAAGAGTAAGAGTGGTCATATATGTATATGTTCCTCAACTATCTAGCATTTAAGAGTTTATGAAAAAAGCTAAGGATATTCATGTAGTAAGACTGCGAAAAAATAGACAGAGGCTGTGTAAAGTGTACTCTCTAAGTTTTGCTTTGCTCTGCCAGTGACAAAAAAAAAGAAAATGGTTTTGCATAACAATTAAGAGATGTTTCATTGCAAAAAGTTTATGCCCCTCTCCAAGAAATAATTGGATATTTTTCTAAGTCCAATGAACATAACTCTGTCCAAAATAGCTTGATTCTACCCAAAACAGAACTCGGATTAGATATTTTATGATAAATCTGCATACTATGAATTTCATTTCAACATGCGCAACTAATTAATCAATTAATATTTAAAATAAATTTAAGTTACCTGCTTAACAGATCCATTGTTTCTGCCCTGTTGTGTTGTTTCATGTTGTCGCCTCTCTGTGTTCTGAATTATGAAAAAAAATTAAATTTAAAAAAATGCTAGATAGTTAAAAGAATATTTATCTTAGAGCTGTCATTGGTGTAACATGTGTAAGTTCTAAATATATGACAGAACTTATTTAAACTTGATTTCATTTGTTCTGTTTTTGAAACATTCTATGTCATCATTTTCAAAAGTTAAAATATCAGAGTATCTGTAAGCTGTCTGCGAGTTTGAAGGTTGACAAAAAAATGTATCATATTTCCAATTTTTGACTGACTTTTCGCAGAAAAATGAATTTCATCTACTTATTAATGAAATGTTGAATATTCAAGGAAAGGGGAAATTTAGTGTTGAGTATTTATAATAGATATTTAAGCTATGATCAAGAAAAGTCAGTTGTTGCACATGAGTCTCATGAGCCTCATGAGACTCATGAATGTGAAGCAGTATTCTAGGTGAGCAAAATGATTCCTCATGTGAGCAAAGAATGCTAATGTGCAGAACCCTGCTCATGTGAGCATTTCACCTAATTTGCATGTTAAATTGCACATGAGACTCACATGAGCAACTCAGGTGAGGAAATCTGGTTAGTCCTCACGTGAGCTGCTCATGAGCAAATTGTGAGAATGGTTTGGTATGGGTTACCTTGCAAGATCTTTGTAATTGTAGTGTAAGGAATGCAAAGACATCAGGTAATTACTCCCTAACAATAACAAATTTAATGCAAATGTATGCAAACATGGGTGTTTGTTGTGAGGCTATAAAGAGTGCCATTGGCACTCAATTATTAAATTTTTCATGAAAGTCCATGTGCAATTCCTTTAACCCTTGATATCGTAAGTGGAACTCTTTCAAGTGGAGGTAAAGAACGTCTCTTGGATAGAGGCATTGTGCTATTCACAATACAAGATTGATCATTGTGGAATTTATAATATAAGAACAAATAAGAGAGAAATCCTGGTGAAATATCTAGCTTAACTTTCTCTAAATCAGTCTAATAAATCTTTCAGAGAAGTTAAACTTTTGAAAGCTGATTAAATAATCTAAACTATCTTTATATGACATTTATCTACAATTTGTTGAACCCTTGGCAATACAATGTACTTTCAGCATAATGATTGTTCAATCAATACATGTATGTCTATCAGTATGAAGACTGAATGCATTGTAACATTCAATGAGTTGGATAAAACATGTTACAGCATTGCAATTGTTTACATGCCCTTGTAAGAAATATTTGTAATGCTTTATACCTGTTCTACAGTGGGATCTGGTAGATCTTCATCTGTGTCATCTTGTGTGTTAATACCAGGATCGTTCCAGATGTCCAAGTAGCCACCTTTCTTCCTACGTCCCCTGGAAGCTTGCCTTCTCTCCTTTTCCTCATCAATTGCCTTTGCTCGATGCGTCTGTGCCCATTCTGTATCATAGTCCTCAAGCTGTTCTTTGGTGTCTAAATAAAAATTGTTCCATATAATTAATTAGTAAATATAATGCTTTATTTTATTATTTTTTTTTTTTAATTTTTTTTTTAAGTGCAAGGAATTTATTTAAAACTAGAGGTACTGTGAGTAATGAGCTCAGTAAATGATACCCCCACCCACCATATGAATATAGCAGCAGTGTCCATGTTTTGCTATCATGGGGATTGGGAAAATACTTGTCGCATGAAAAAGTAAATAGGTGGTAGACAATGGTAATATGTAATGTCTATTCTTTTGAAGTTTCATCAAAATTCATTTAGTGGTAAGAGAGGGAACCCAAAAGCTTAAGAGACAGGAGGATGAATGGACAGACAGACGGACGGACATGTTGAATACTGTATACCCTCCAGTTTTTTAAGTAGGGGTATAACAAAGAAGGTACACTACCTAAACACTGCCCATATACATATTTAAATGACAAACTAAGTAGGTTTTGTTGTTATTTTCATTTGATTCTTTTTTTTATTTAAAGATATTCTTATATTACGGTAATAAATTTATATATTATATCCATATAAAACATTGATCGCCTATTGTGACCCCACTATACACAAGGGAAGCAGGGGAACTTGATTTTAAGCAGATTTGATTCTACAATATAAGCTTTCATTTTTTTTTCAGCCCTGAGATTCTTAAATTGACTTCTTTTTTTTAAAAAGATATTCCTATAAATATACTGACACGCAAAAGAAACGCAACATCCTACTTTAGGGGGGAATAATTATGTCAAGTAAAAGAAATTGTATCTCAAAATGATGGAAATCTTCACTTTGGTACACACCGGTTATTTAAAAGTTGAACGATTTTCATACCATAACCGGAAGTCAAGTTAAGTCTGCTTAACAAAAATTTAACAAAACATTTCGCAATATTATGGAGTATTTAGGGTTTTAACTGTTCATCATAAGTAATGCACCAATATTTAAAAAAAAATAAACTCTCCTTTCTTTTCCCGATAACTGCAGAAATTTGAATCCCAAATCTCCATTTATGCATTTTGGTAATTTGATCAAACTGTGTCAAATGATTCTTAAAAAGTTCAATGTAACTCTCAGACAAACTGACTCAGACAAAACATGATAGGATGTTGTGATTTCACCTTAAATGAGCATAAAATTAAAGGCTTAAAAATGAATTTTTTCTTCAAGTTCTACACTTGCAAAAAGAATGTTTTGCTGCCTTTTTCAGAATTAAGCAAATAAATATTGTTTTAATTTTGTGTGTCATCACATTTTTAAATAATTTCATATTGACATTGCTGTAACAGCTAAACAAAAATTCGAATTTTTTGAAAGAGAGAGGGAAAAAGAGAAAAATGTCAACACTGACACCGATCGATAGCCCTGCCTCCTGTAAATATTGATTGTGTGACATCAAAACCACTCTGGGTACATGTTGAATTCCAGAAGACGACACTCATGTATCATTGTTTTGATTTTGATACATGACAACAGGGCATTGTTTTAGCTCAAATTTCCACCTAATATAACCAAGACTAGTATCTGTTGCTCTTTCCATTGCTCATCATTTATTTTGGATTCACTTCATTTGCAGATTTTTAGAGGAGTCGCAGAAAGATCAAAAAAAGGGCGTTAAGTCCAGCCATTCTTTATTTAGTTTCATTAATAAACAAGTTCATTAATTCACTATTTTTTAAATATATTTTTACATGTTTTACACAGGTTTCCTTTTTCGTTATATTAAAAGACAAAAATAAAATCTTTGAAATGCAGAAAAACACTTTGGACAAATGAGTAGCTAAATCAAACATGATAAATTAAAGGTATACATGTAAGACCTTCAAGCTATGCAGCTTATTCTAGAGAAAGTATTGATTAAAAAAATAACTTACCTGATAAATGAAGGATTTCAACTTTGTGCAGTTGTCCATCATATGAGAGAGACCCTCTGCTAGATCTGGACAGGACCCCTCTTGTTGAACTTTGAACCCTGGAGCTCTCGACAATTGAAGTAAATCCATCCCAGTCAAATAAAACAAGAGCATGCTTTGGATGATTTGGCATGGCTCTATTAAAAAATAAAATTTTTATTTCTTAATTACTTAATCAATGAAGGTATTCATAATACTAAATTTTGAGGGAAAAAAAGCATTCTGAGAGTATAACCATGATAACACTGGCAATTAATGCAAGACAATGCTATTCCTTATTGGCAAAACTTAAGTGTAATCTGGCTCTCATATAAAATTGAGAATGCAATAGTTCCGCCAAAAATCTAAGTTTAAAACTTATCAATAAAGATCATATAAATTTCATAAAAAAACATTGGAACAAAATGACATGAAACTTGATTTATAACTCATCAGTATTCATTCAAATTCTGTAGAAGTACTTTTCTCTGCGTGTCTGATATTAATTTCCGCGGAAATTTGTCCAAGCTTACTTCAAATAAATGTAAGGCATATAGTGACAGTCAAAGAATTCCGCATAATTTTCTACCAGCAGATTATAAAGAAATTGAGATTCCGTGGAATTATGACTTTGTGGAAAAAAGTATGTCTACATCTGAGCTCAAGACTTTCTACATCTGAGCTCAAGACTTTAATCTGCAAGCATGTTTCAGAAAACTGTCAAACAGAGGGATAGCTAATATGAGCAGATATTTTGAAGTTGTGACTGCTATAATTTTTTTCTGGTAATTAAGAGATCAGAAGGTGGCCTCAAGGCCCCCGTGGGTCTAGGGTCAAGAGTTAAACCAGGCAGAAATACAGTAAACCTTGGTTATAAGAAAGTCCTCCGACAGTTTGAAGTTAGAAGTACGACAGATCATGTCACAGCAGGGATTTAAGCACAATGGAATTTTCAATGAAAGTGTTAGCGTATCGAACAGCAGAAGGTCACGTGAAAAAGGTGATTATAATATCAATCGCTGATGCTCAGTGACTGGCTATCTCGATCCTATTTTGGGGACATTCTGTTAAAATTAGATAGGAGCCGCAACTTGGCCAACGTTGTCCTTTGGATATGTTTAAGTTTTAGTTAAAATACACATTCTGTGCAAATAAGAAAAATAGCCAATTTGCGACTCGATGTAAACAAAGTTGTTGAAAACTGGTAAAATAACAATAGAAATGAGACAAAACTGTTAAACCCCTGTCTCAAAAGCTAGTGTCAATCGGCATTATAAAATACTTTCATGTAATATAATATACCAAAACCTGCTATTAACCTTAAGAATTGTTTAATACCTATAAAACATAAATTTAATGAATTTTGGAATTTTATTTTGCGCAAAACATCGGGATCAAACTTTCATAGATTTAGTGCAGTCATTCTTTATATAGGGTATTATCAGTAGACATGGTAGAGGTATAATGTACTTTAAAACACCTGTGAAATATCAGTTTTACTGGTAATTCATTCTAGTTTATCACATAATCATGACACAAAAGATACAAGAGGCCCATGGGCCACATCGCTCACCCGAGTAACTTGGGTGATGCAGTTCTTTAGCAGATTTCCCCTCTTGCTATACCTATCGTGCCCCCCCCCCCCCATTGTTTATGTTGCGGGAGAATGGTAGCATACCCCCTCCCCTTACATGATTTTAATATTTTAGAATCTACACTACCCAAAAATGCTTTCATATAAGGTTCAGCTTTCCTGCAAAACAAAAAAGCGTACGTTTTTTTTTAAATATACTCTTTTAATAACTTGTAGCATTTCATTAATCAATGATTATTCACATATCTTATTATAATATCGAGGTTCTTGAGAAGAAGATTTTTAAAGATTTGTTCTATATATTTCTATGTAAAACTTGGATTTCCTATTGTGGCCCCGCCCTACCCCAGGGGGTCATGATTTTAACAATTTAATATCTACTCTACCCAAGGATGTTTCCATATAAGTTTCAGCTTTCTTGTCCCAGTGGTTCTTGAGAAGAAGATTTTTAAAGATTTGTTCTATATATTTTTAGGTAAAACTTGGATTCCCTATTGTGGCCCCGTCCTACTCCTACCCTAGGGGGTCATGATTTTACCAATCTAATATCTACACTAACCAATGATGCTTCCACATAAGTTTCAGAGTAATATACTGGTAACTGTTTTCAAAAAAATATTTGTCTATTTTCTCATTCTTGTGTCAATAGTATAAATTAATTTTAAATATTTCATAAAATTCCACCAATCAGTGATCGTTTCTGTGGCGTAATCGACAAAGCATTGACTGGCAACCTCATGGTCATGGGTTCGATTCCCGGCGTGAGCGTTGCAGAATTTATTTAGTAAATAAGTCTGTGCACTATTTCAACATAGTATGCTTACGCTACATAAATACTTAGAACACTATGCGAGAATAGTAGGGTATGGGTTATATAGAGACAAACTGACAGGAAGCATAATAATATGACATCATGCTGTGCTATATATACCTCATAATCTGTTCTCTTTTATTTTGAATATTCCAAGCACTAAGTATATAATGAAAATTGTTGCATGAAAAGATTTAATTTTCAAACTTCATTTAAAGACTTTTTGAATTTAATTATAAATTAAAGAGTTGTCCTTCTTGGCTGAGGGTCGAAGTCCCGTCATATGAAAACCTTCTATCTTTTTATTAAAAAATTATGACCAATTTAAGTTTTTATTTTTTAAAATAGTTCAAACTTCAAGGTCATACTTCAGATTTTTTGGCGGGTTACATTGACACATCCTTGCACTTCCACAAATTTTAATTTTATTCTTAATCCTTAGGAAGAGTGGCAACCTTGATGTGTATTAATGAAAAAAAAAATTAATTCTATAATCCAGAAAATTTAGTGTAGGCATGCTTGAAAGCAAAACAAACACACAATATATTGTCAGTCTGTGCAGTTGTGGTGAACAGACTTTGGCGATTGAACGCACCTGGTGTATCGTAGACATCAAACAATAACATGTTTACAAAAACTTGTGTGCATAACATGAGTGTGATCGATGATCAGAGTTGCAAAACTCTGTACACACTGGAATGACGATACTTGTGAAGGAGCTCTGCTTTCTAACATTTCTACTCTGAATAAAATTATTTTTCTGGATAATTATAAGTTTAATTATTTCTCATTAATATACAACAAGATTGCCACTTCTCCAAAGTATTAAGAATAAAGTAAAAATGTGTAAAAGTGCAAGGATGTGTCAATCAAACCTGCCAAAAAAATTAAAGTTTAACTTTTAAATGAATTAAGATTTTTAATTCATTTTTGTGTGAAGTGCTATTAAAATATATAATTTGTGATATTATAGAGAAAATATTAACTTCAAATCTGTGTCCAAGTAACTTTAAATAAGGTTAAAGTTTTTGTGATGGATGGACAGACTGACACATGTGACAGATGAAAGAGATTTAATGTCCCCTTGCTTTCTCAAAACCCCTCAGAAATTTATTGATGTTTTCATTACATATTGAAAAGCTACGTAGATAATATTTATTGCTATAACAATTGTCACTTGAAAGCATCCTACAGAGAGAAATTATTTACCTTAGCTTTAAAATGAAGCAATTTCTCTCTCTACATGTTCTACATGTATTTTTTGTTAATAAATATTTTGACAAACTTTAAGTGCTGAAAAAAAATAATTGTGTAGGAGCAATGAATTATGATGGGTCGGTCGGAGTACAGCAACCAATGAAATGAATTTTGTTATTATTATACGTCTACTGATAACATTCGAATTTGATTGGCTTGTAAGAATGCTTTAAACTTAAATAATGACTCGAAAAGTACTGTTTACATCAATAATGACCAAGGCTAGGATCCATTGCACATTGGAGATGACTGCATGCTCATTATAAGTGCTAAATAATGACCTTTTAATAACAATTCCTATTATGGTTTAGTTAATGTCTAAAATTATAATTGAGAAAAAAAAATTAAAATATTAAAATTATATGTGCATTATCTGTATTACAATACCAAAAAAGAATAGAATATTACGATAAAATTAAATTGATTATGAAAATATCTGATCGATTATTACAACTCATTTCCACACTGTTCAAGAGAGGCAGACACGGTTTCTTCTTTACATGCACAGTTACATTGCATTAGCATGATTAGGTTTTGACTATACACAATAATAGTAATTTTTCTTGGTGCTGCCAAGAGCTAAGGACCTACATGTAATTCTAAAAAATATAAGTAATCTAATATCGATAGAACATAGCACACTGTTCAATGTAATTTGTGACAGTAAGGTGACGTGAACGACGGAGGTTTTTGTAATCAGAAAATCAAATCACTCTAAGTAAACAACAAAATAATACATATCAAGAGTTCAGGTGATAATACAACCAGGCCATACCTTTTGCACGCCCAATATTTTCAAGTTATTCGTTGTCAATAACATTTTATCTATCATTTTACCAGTTCGGCAGTTTTGCTATTTTACTAGGATAAGACGAATGACCTTCGCTAAGAATTCAGGAATCCCATGCCCGAGCAATAAAACGAGTTAAATCAGTTAAATATCGATTCCTTTCTTGCGAGTGCATTCCTTGAATTTACAAATTAAGTAACGTATACTTACGATGTTCTTCAGGCAGCGTGTTTTCTGTCTTCTCTCTTCAAGGAACTGGGAATAACTGTCGCTCTCCAAGTAATTAGCGAGGGGCATTGTTTAATGAGGGTATACCGAAAGGGTCAAGGATCTCCAAATTAACCCCCTGTACACACCAGACTGACAGTTGTTAAACAAACATATCCCAAACAAACTACCTTCTACCTGTCTTTGGACACCGACAAAGTGGTATACAAAGACGCGTGCCATTATTGGGCACTAATGAAATCTAATTGCTACCTGTAATTTTTTTGAATTGAACAAGATGAAAGGAAAAAAAAAGTCTTAGAACGTAAAATTAAGATATCCACCATATTTCGGGAAATTAAAAAATTGATCATTTTTCCCTATAGTGTACTTGAATCGCACATATTGAAAAGTCTCTTAAATTAGGTTTATTGTAACACCGTGGCTTTATATATAGCGACAAGTACGTGTACAACAGTCATTAAAGAACATTAGAATAATTTTTAAAAAAAGATTTTTAGGCAGAATTATTTATCGTTCATAAACTATTAATAAAAAAAAATACTTTACATATTTCAAGTTTTCAATCAATATACAGCTGCAAATAAATTTTCAAAAAATATTTAAACTCAGAATCAATAATATTTTATCGATTTAATGTTTGCGTACATTAAATATACAATTTGCATTATTATCGTTTTGTCAGTTTTCATTCTTAAAAAAAAATGAAACTTTTCCGTGTCGAAACGTGAAAGAGCGTGCGTTTGCGTGAAAGATCGTTAGCGATCGTGTAACGTGAAAGATCGTTGCGTGCGGAATCGTTCGTGTATCAGGTTTAATCGTTCGTTAATCGTGCGGGATCGTGCGTTTAACGTGATCGTTCGTGTAAGTTGTCAACAATAACGTTCCAGCCACTGTAACTATGTACCAATAAAGTTAGGACATCTTTTACTTTGCCAAATCAGT